CACCCCCCTCCGAGCGCTGCGCCAACCCCGCCCACATCTGAGCACCGCACCAACTCCCGCCCCCCCATCCAAGCGCTGTGCCAGCCCCCGCCCCTCCCATTCAAGCGCCAAACCAGCCCCCGCACTCCTCCGAGCACCGCCCGAAGCCCCAGCCCCCGAGCGCCACGCAAACAAAAAAACCTTCCAGCGCTGCCCCTACGAACCAAAATAAATAAATAAATGAATAAAAACCCGAGCACCGCCCCAAGCACGTGCTTGGTGGGCTGGTGCCTGGAGCTGGCCCTGCACACACAACCCTGTATTACAATCTTAGATGCTGTGTTAGACAGGAACATTACTAAATGAGAATGGCATGGTTATTGCAGTCTTCAGTTGTTGGGACTTTGATCATGATCCATCTGTAACAGGATGCATATAGTTTATAGTCTTCAGACTCAGGTAAACAGACCAATTTCAGCTAAGATGGGGCTGTACTTAATTACATAAAGGAATATCTTCATTGAGAATGAAAAGTATATTTGTGTAACTCCCTGGCGCATGTTGCAGGTCCCCCATCCATAGATGATAGGTGTTTCTTACAGTGGCAGCTAGAGATATTGGTTCTTTAGCTCAATTTGTAGCAGCTCATTTTTTTAGCTCTGGAGGTTTCTCGTTCAGTCCCAAGTGTGCAGCCAAGATGGTAGCATTACATTTTCTCACAGCACTGCATTGCTTTCCAAGCACTTTCAAACAGTGACAGCACTGTCGTTCCTATCCTACTTCTTTCACCACCTTCAGTTACCAAAGAAAGATTGCTAAGGCTTTGTCTGCATTAGAAAAATTCAAACCCATAATTTATCACTGGGGGTAGTTATTGTAGAAGCTGTGAAGCTGAGTTTAGGATTTTTACTCTTTTGTCATATAATTCTGCTCTGATCGGGGTTAGACAAAATGGTGGTAACAAATGCCTGAGCTCTGTCTACACTAGTATTTCCACTTTTCCAACCATCTGTGGCGCAGCACTGATGGTAAATTGTGCATCAGAATTTTGCTAATGTTGATCAACACTAGTCCTGAGCAAATTCAAAAACTGATGTGACAATGTGTCTGACAATTCATTTTTTGATGTGATAAAACCTAAATTTGTTGATTTTTAGGCCACGATACAAAATCTAGCTATTTACTCAGATTCTGAAGTGGGCTCCATTTTTCTTTTTCGTAGACTTGGATTTTTTGGTTGGCTTTGTTCAGAGATTAAATATTTTTACTTGTGTGATTTAAAGAAAAAATGAATAGAGCCTGATGAGTGCATATCTTCTAAAACTAAAGGGACACAACTCATGAGAAAATCTGATCACACAGTCGTTTCAGTCTGATTCTCTGACCACAGCTTTTTGATTCTTAAGTTTCTTAGCTAAATCGGACCCAAGGAACATTTTAAAGTTTTCCCATCACTATCTAGACTGGTTAAAGACTAGGACATATTGAAAAACCCGCAGATATATTCCAAATTAAAAGCAAACTGCTAATGGACAAAAGTGTCTAGAGTTGACTAGCTGAACCTACTTATGTTGTGGTTTTGTGTGTGGTTTTTAAAGGGCTCTCATTAACAAAAAAGTAATATATGTTTGAACTTTAAAAAGCTCACCTGTAAATCCAAGTGTCATTAGACCATTAACTGGAAGGGAAAAAAAAGAAGAGACTGATTAGAATTTCTTGGTTTTATTCCAGCATGATGAAAATTTGTGTAGTATTAGATCTAATACATAAGTACTCTTGACCACAGTTAATGATTCAACAGAACATTCCAAGTCGCTACATGCCCTAAGTACTGTCATAAGGGTTTATTTTGATTAGAAGTGGGAAGATTAACATTTGCTCAACATTTAATAAAAAAGAATCACCTCTTGTCTGTCTTTTAATCTACACAAATCACACAGGCTTTTTAGGGAACTAAGTGAGTAACTTCATGCAGATGACTATGTTCTGCTCTCATTGACATCCTGTGCAATACCACTGAAGTCAACTGGATTGCACAGTGTGGGAGGTCCGAATATGGCTCAAATTAAATAGATGCAAATTCTATCTTAGTTAATATATGCCCAAACCCCAGTTCATTCAATGAGAATTGTTGTGCACCCATATCTAAGAAGAATTCAGCCCTTACTATGGAATAAACTTTTATTATGGTCAAGTACAAACTTCTGCAGAATTCTAGTAAATTCTTGTCCAATAGAACAGGAATGCAAGTATCAGGATGCTTTGATAGCATAAGGATGTGAGCTTCAACTATACACCTAATAGTTGTATCTATTTTGTAAAAGCAGTACATATTTTTCAAGTCTGTCAATGTAATGGTAAATGTAGTGGATTCCCCACCAACTTTTTTAAATCTACATTTTCAAATGTGCTTTATCAATTGCAGGCAACTGTGTTATGAGGTTAAGTAAACATTTTCTGGGAAGGATAAAACTACCCACTCCCAAGCAACCAAAGTTTTGATGTACAACCACAAGTTCACCCCTACAATTCCTGATTTCCTCTTGAAATCTTACATTACACTTCTTTATAAATTTCTATCAAGGATCTCCAAGTGTTTTGCAGTCATGAGTGAAGTATTCCTCACGTTACCATTGCGAGGTAAGTCAGAACTTAGCTTGCCATAAGAAAACAGGTAAAGGAGGTAAGAATTTATCCACATTTTACATGTGGGATAACCAGAGCAGAGAGAGGTTAAGTGACTTTCTCGGTGTCATATAGGAGGACTGTGGCAAAGCCAGCAATGGAACACAGCTCCTGGTTCTCAGTCTCATGTTTTAAACACAAGACCATCAGTCAAATGAAAAGGAACTTTAATAGCATTTTTGATCTCACCAAAAGGAAGTAATATGGGAAGTCTCACAAGATAGATTGTTTTTGTGCCTATTCTCAACCAAAAGAGTCTGAAAACGTTCGTGTAAGACCCCAAACCTCCAAACCTTTTGAAGTTCACCCTTTAATTGACTTAGCAACATCATGTATGCCTCTCTTGACAAAGATTTAACTAGGAGACCATAACGGGACACGATTGACGATTTTCTTGTGATTCAACATCATGCCTTTTCTTTTAGGAAGGGCTGATTCCAGTATTCCACTTTAAAAAACCTTACTAATTAATTGACTATTAAATTCATTTAGATAATATATATAGCTACAAGTAAAGTGTAGTTACAGTGTTGAAAGATCCTGTAGTATTTCACTAGTAAATGATCATGAAGATACATTCACAAACATTCTTAATTGAACCAATAGTTGAAAAAAGAGGTTAAGATTGAACACACCAACTGGCTGCTGGTTTAATCACAGATGCCACTAAGTTTTATTTTCTACATATATAAATAGAAGCTACAGTGGTTACCAGTAAGCAGGACAGAAATTGGAGGCTAAGGGGTCAATCAGTTTGGAATTGGAGATGGGGCTAAAGCTACAGGACAGCGGGGGTGGGAAGTGGCAGCATAACCATCTCTGCTGATGGTTATAGCATCTCTTTGCATCAGGAGTCAGTATTGCACTGATCTGCAGCTCCAGTGCCCCCTTTAGCTACTTCCTCTGTGCTGCATAGGCTCATCCTTTGTCTGTGTTCTGTGGCCCAGTCCTCTAGTCAAGATGATTCTCCAGTCTCATTCCCTCCTGAGATATCAAAAGTCCAACATCACAAGCTCCAATCAGCCATCAACAAAAACGGCCTTCTGCTCCTCCCTCGGGCTATGTTAAGATCCCCTCACTTCTTTCACAGTCCTCCCTCAGGACTTTCCTTACAAGAGCGTCTCTTGCTCCCTGCAGAAGAATCCTGACTCCTCTATAATCTCCCCCTCAACTGAGCTCCCTTAGATTCCTTATAAGGCCCAGGTACCTAATGGATTATCACCTAGTTCCACCCCCTCTGGCCAGGAGGCAATCAGTCAATCACCCCACAGTTTCAGAACACACCTCTAATTGAGGATTTTTTTCCCCTTCTCTAGCAAATCATGGGAGAAACCTGATCACAGGCAGGTTTGGAGATGCTGAGGTGTTGTAAAAAAATGACAGGGGAGGGAGACAGGAGAAAGTAAAAAGCAATAAGGAAACAAGTGTTCTTTTATTACCACACATTTAAAAATCATCTGCATCAAGGCTTTGTTTTCACTGCCAAAAAAAGGGTGTGTTTTTACTGTGGGATGAGTGATATGCATCCTACTGTAAAACCCTAGTGGAGACAAGGCACTGTCATTTTTACAATGATGTAGGTGAGATCAACACTAGATCCCACCTCCCCACCCCATGATTGATCTTGCCTATTTACCTCATAGTAAAACTACTAGAGTGCCTTATCTTTACTAGGATTTTACAGCAGGGCAGCTAATGCACATGGTAAAAACACGTCTTTCTGGCAGGGAAGCCATACCCCCAGAATGAGCTCCGATTCTCAGAGCTGCACCGTGGACTTTTATTGCACACACTGCACTCTGATCTTGTACACAGAATTCCTACTGATGTCAACATGAGTTTTACACTGGGATCTAGGGCAATATAGAAAGTAACAGTGTGGATTCACAAGTGGAGAATTTTTGCACTATAATCGTGAAAGTGAGGCTATAATCACTGGGTCCTGGTGACATTGACAAATTGCTCATGGTTCATTCTTACAATTTATGCTATCACTAGAACTCCTTCATGGGAGTGTGGTTTTATTAAGTACTGGCTTTTTTCCCCCACAGTATTATTTATATAGTACTTCAATTGCCACATACATTTAAAATAGCATTTGGACGCTCTAATGTCAATACCTACTAAAGGTGCCCCAAAACACTTTTCAGTAATGACCTTCATACCTTTTGAAAGTTCATAACAGAAAATGTTATTCTGATATTTCCCTCTTGCCTAAATATTTCTTCAGGAAGCTGCAATTTCTGTCAAGACTCAATGATTTTAGAGAATTACATATTTCCCACAGGATGTGTGAAGTACCTCTTGTTTTATCTGGCATGCGTATGCAGTGCTTTCCTCAATAATGGTAGCATTGGAATACCCTGTATAGTGTGTCCTGTGGTGTATCAACACTAGTCTTTGCCACTCCAAAAAATTACTTTCTCTTCAATCCCATTTCTCATTAACTGATGGACAGAAGCAATTTTATTTCCCTATTCTTCTGTTATCACAGAAGTTTTACTATATTGCTATAACTTCTTATATTTATTCCACTTTAATTCCCAAAAGATTCCAAAGCATTTGACAAGCACTGATACAAACATATTCTACACACAAGTGAACTTTAGAAACCAATGAGATCCCTTTATTCAGTACTGAAATGCAGCTACATCTGGACTGAAACCTAGCAATGTAATATTGCACAATAGAACTAGTATAGGACTAGAGGTGAAGAATAGAGGTGTAAATGACTCCTACTAAATCACCATCTGACACTTCCCAAAGAACCCATAACTTCCCTGGTGCCGTCCTATCCAAGTACTGGCCTGGCACCATGTAGTTTGTAAGAACAAGCAGGATTACAATTTCAAGTGACGTGGCTACAGGCCAAGAGTTATTTCTGATTTGTAAGACAGAAGCTATGATACAGTGTTACAAAATTCTGTTGCTTCCCCTCTATAATATATATAATATACCATTATCCACATATTATCTTAATGCTAAATGCTAAGACTGGCCTTACATTAACAAGTAGGTATGCAGCATGCCGTATATTTAAATTTTTGTAAGTAATTAAACATTAAATTGATCTCTTGAGCATTTAGTGTTCAATATACAAAATTTAGTTATCTATCCTCTTACTTAAAAGTACATAGATTCTTAGATTTCAAGGCCAGCAGGGACACCAGATCATCTAGTCTGACCTCCTGTAGAACACAGGTCATAGAACTTCCCCAAAATAATTCTTAGAATGTATCCTTTAGAAAAACATCCAATCTGGATTTTAAAATGGTCAGTGATGGAGAATGCATCACAACTCTTGATAAGTTGTTCCACTGGTTAATTACTCTGACCTTTAAAAATGTACACCTCGTTTCATGAATTTTTCCAACTTCATCTTCCAGCCATTGGACCAGCTTATACCTTTCTCTGCTAGACTGAAGATCCTATATTAAATATTTGTTCCCCATATAAGTACTTATAGACTGTAATCAAGTCACCCCTTAACATTCTCTTTGTTAAGCAAAATAGATTGAGCTTCTTGAGTCCATCACTCAAATCTAATCTTTTAATCAATCTGGTGGCTCTTCTCTGAACCCTCTCCAATTTATCAACATCCTTCTTGAGTTGTGGATCCCAGAGCTAAACACAGTATTCCAGCAGCAGTAAGACTACTGCCAAATACAGAGGTAAAATAACCTCTCTACTCATGCTTGAGAGTCCCCCATTTATGCATCCAGGAATCACATTAGTCCTTTGGGGTCACAGCATCACACTAGGAGCTCATGTTCAGCTGATTGTCCACCAGGACCCCCAAATCTTTTTCAGAGCCACTGCTTCCCAGGACAGCATCACCCAACCTGTAAATATGGTCTACATTCTTTGTTCCCAGATGTATACATTTACATTTAGTCACATTAAAAAGCATATTGTTTGCTTGGGTCGAGCTTACCAAACGATCCAGATCACTCTGTATCAGTGATCTGTCCTCTTCATTATTTACCACTCTCC